CCCTGTTCAGCCTCAGCAAGAGGAGGTTGAGGGGGGACCTGGTGGCTGCCTACGAGCTCATCGGGGGGGATCAACAGCAAATAGGGGTGACAAGGAACAAGGGTCATAAGCTGATGGAGAATAGGTTTAGGTTAGAGATCAGAAGGCAATATTTTACAGTTAGGGTGGCCAAAATCTGGAACCAACTTCCCAGGGAAGTGGTCCTCGTCCCTACTTTGGGCAAATTCAAGAGGAGGTTGGATGATCAGCTGTCTGGGGTCTGTGGCAGGGGGTCAGGCAGGGGGTCAGGCTAGATGATCTGTTCATGTCCCTCCTGACCCTAGCTACTATGAAACTATAATATAACAGGATTATTTCCTGGGTGTTCATGTTAATGATGGTCCCTTGTAGCTCCAGGTCCTGAGAAAAGAGCAAAGAGCACATAGAGGAGATTTAATTCTCCCTTTGTTTTTTTTTTCTTTCTTGTCAGAACTATTCTGTGCTGTTTTTAACATGTTTTATGAGTTGCTCCCTGGAATACCATTGGCTTTGCACTTTTAAGTGAGCAGTCTTAAAGTTTGCTTGCTCTTAATTTATTATGTGTAACTCAAGCTTCGCTGATTCTTGAAGTGCTGCACTTCTTTTATTGTTCCGTAAAAGCTTTGGTTGCTTCATGCGTTGTAAGCCAAATTCACGATGTATTTTTTTTTAAGTCTCACATCTGTTTAAACTAACATAGGAAAAAGCATGCATCTACATGGGCATGTCCTAACTCTCTAGAGTTTTTTTCCTAAAGCTAACTTATTTAAAGCTCTCACACAACATTCAACTTACTTTATGCCTAAACTGGACTGTTCTCTCTTTTTTTTACCTACAGAAGTATAGCCCTGATACTTCTTTGTATGTATGTTTTGTACCAACAGAAAATAAACTGTTAGATACAATTTTTGTAATGCTGCTTATACCAATAGCATTTTGTAGGGCAAGACTAAATGAGTTACTCTTTGAAAGCTTGTGAATGCAGTGTAGAAGCTCGCTGGTCCTACTCTAAATCTTTCAAATTCCAGCTGAACAATAGAACCAAGCATTTCTGATTACCTAGTATCTTAATCAAAGGTGTTAAGTGATGAGGGAGCAAATACTCATACTTGAATGCCTGTGAAGGTAGGCCAAACAACTTGTTCCTTAGAAGTAACTCAGCATATTGGAAATGTTCAATAAACTGCGTGTTTCTTCTTTATAAGAAACTCCAATTAGTATGTACATTTCAGAAATTAATTGTAGACTTTCTTTTTTCTTTTTTTCCTGCACAATTTTCTGATGAGCCAGACACCTCCGTTTCCCCGCCCCGAGCCTCGGTGTGCTTGAGCCAGTTAACTTTGAGTTGTTTTTTTTCATGCTTGCTTTCGAGAGCATTTATCATTCAGTTCTCTCCTCCACCCTTCTTTTCCTCCTCTCCCATTGTAACAAAACATTTTGGACAGCACTGATGGTTATATACAATTATCTAAAATGCTTGTCTATAATTTATATTTGTTCCATTGATTTTTTTGAAGCTTACATTTATAAGGACTGTAAAGAAAGGGATTCTTTTACTTTTATGTTGTATACTATTTTTCACGTTCTTTATCTGCAGAAATCTCTTGAGTGTTTAATAATTATTGGGAACAGAGCCAAAGTTTATATGACTGACCAGGGTTAAATTTCATTTTGCATGTTAAACTTTTTCAACATTAAACCAACAAGACTACGTGCAAGTTCTTTGGAACTAAAACAAAAAAAATCTTGCATCTATGTAAGGAAGGATCTGTCACCAATTGTTTTTAAGCCTGGTATTTTCCACGAAAACCATTGCTAAAGGTGTGGGGGGATGACGACAAAAGCCACAAAAATGTTCCTTTTATGTACATCTGAAATTGAATGTCATTGCTAGAGGGGTTAGCACATGGAATATGATGCAAAGCAGTGTATAAACAGGTAACTGCTTGTTTTTTAACTCTGACTTATTTCATTTTTACTTTTAATCAAAATATATAAAATCTTTGGAAAAACCTTTCTTACTCAAGCCTTGAGCTTTTCAGTTATTTGCTTGCTCGCTTGGGTCCTAGAACAGAAAGATATAAGGTATGCACCTGCATGTGGAAGTTCTCCCAAACTTAATGGGTGCATCTACACATGCAGTTAATGCAAAGTAACTCCAGCACAGTTTGTGTGGGGCTAGGTGGCAGGCAGCCTCTGCACTGTAGCACCCTTGTGCCCCAGCCTGCCCCAGTCACTGTCTACATGTGCATTTCAGCAGTTTGTGCCAGAGTTCACTGTTCCCAGGCACAGCATCTAGATGTGGCCTGGGCCAGCAACACTTTGAACCAGAGCAGAGCAACCCAGGGCTGGCAGGAGGCATGCGGGCTCAGCCTCAGATTCCCAGTGGCAGCATCGGGTGGTGGAGGTGCTAAAGTGTGGGGCTAGTTGGCAGGCAGCCCCTGTACTGTAGCACCCTTGTGCCCCAGCCACCCCTGGTCACCGTCTACACGTGCATTTCAGTGCAGTTAAGTACTCTGCTGTAAGGTAGTACTGCCCCTGACAGTACTATCTTTCACAGAGTTAGTTAATTAAAAAAATCTTGCCCTAATGCTAGTGCGCGTGTAGATGGTGATGCTTTATTGTGGAGCTAATTAGTTTATTCAGCAGTAAAGTGCATGTGTAGATGCACCTGATGGGACTTCCTTGTTCAGCATATTAAACTTGATGTTGCACCCAGGGCCTAGCTGTTTGCACACGTGCTGAACTGAAATCTGTGCAATGGCTTGTGAATAAAGTTGAACTTGGAGTATCTGAGTTAGAGTACAGTGCTGTCCCTGTTTCAGGAAGCAATGGTTAGACTGTATGCTAATCCCTTTGTACATGAGTCATTTGTGCTTTGTGAGAGAGATTTAAATTTGTAGTGGAATTTATTGTTTCCTGGTGGACTGCTATATATTTTATGCTTATCACTTTAAATATTATCTAGGCAGATGTTACCTAGATGTACATCTACAGTGTCCTATTAAGTGTTAGCAAGTAGATGTGTATAGGTGCTATGCATGTGTGAAGATTGGCATGTGGATGGACAGACTTGCTTTATTTCCGACTGTTAGGTTGGCCTGTTGGAGAAATGTATACTGCTGTTAAACGCTGTCATTAAAAGCATTGTCTTGTCTTAGTCCAGCCTTTTGTCTTCTTTCTTTGGCGTGAACGAAAGATTATCTTATTTCATAAGAGGCAGACTGAGCTGATCCCAGGAATATTTCAGTTTTGCTCAA